CCATTGTAGACTTTGACGTCTCGGAAACGTCAAGAATTGTCTTCGGCGAACGTCGTGCAGTATATTAGATTCTTTACTTGTTTCAATCATGCGTGGATGCTATTTTGTTTAAAAAATTTAGCACATTTTCCCGAATATATGCCTGCGACAAATAAAAAGCAACATCCTGCAAACAGATGCCATGCGTGCATCAAACATAATATAAGAAGTGAAACAACTTGGCAGTGTAAAACATGTCTGATTCCACTACATATTCCAAAATGTTTTGAGATGTATCATACTTTACAGAACTACTAAATTATTATTTTATAGTATTACTTAATTATTGTACATTAACGTTATATATCAACTTTATTGTTTTATTTACATAGCATTAAATTTGAAAATAAAACGTTCTGTTTCTAAGCTTGCACATGAGTGTCCACAGTTGAGCCAAATTAAATGCTATTCTACGGACGCGTCGATGCGCATTTTATTTGTATGTCAAGGGGTTAAAATCAGTATATTCACTCATATTCATCGTACCGCTGAAATTACTATAATCTGTGTACATTATAGTTAGGTACCCATTTAAGATCGGTAGTTCTAGTGTTAAAAATCCTGGACTGTGTCTGCGTCAGGGACATGTAAAACTGGAAGAGAAGAGTTTAAATATTTTTCTAGATAATATTCAACGTCACCTTCGGACTCATGATGTAAAATGACGAAACACAACGAGAAAACGTCTGTTGACTGAAAAACACGCGAGGAAACGACTCACATGGGTGACGAAAATATTCATTGAGAATGGAGTAATGTTATATTAACTGATGAAGCTTCTTTCTGGACATGTACAATATCAATAGGATAGTCCAATAGACTGTTAAGCACGCAGTTAAGCACGTTTAGGGCTGCACCTGACAGCAGGGATTCGGCACACTGTACCTGTTCACAGATAAAGATGTTAATGCCCAATCCTAACGCCGAAAAAATGTTAAAAATATACAAAAAAAGCCTTATTGCTATCTGCCAAATATTGGTTCATGGAGGACAACTATTCGAAACACCGAAGCAGATGCTGCAGTGACTGGAGAACAACATCTGGCATCCATCAGCTGATGTGACAGTAGTTATTGGCATGCTATAGTCATTGCAATGCTATAGAATTTAACTGGAAAATTCAATTTTATTGACATTTTCGACTAATATCGTGGTGAGCTAACTTTCTTGCATAACCATTGCAATGCTATAGAATTTAACTGAAAAATTCAATTTTATTGACATTTTCGACTAATATCGTGGTGAGCTAACTTTCTTGCATAAATAAGGAGGAAAGATTCTATCACAGTTGCTCGATGACAATTCTCTAGAAAGTGTTTAGACATATGTATAACAGAGACTTCGTGGAAGACATGTGACATCAGTAAAACAGTTGAACCGACAAATTCACCGCATTTGGAGATCCCTACTACGAGAATATGCTATCAATTTGATGGAAAATATGTTTTGAAAATGTCGATTCATTATCGATGCTGATGGCAACTGGACGCGTTATTAATATAAATGCATTTCTCTTTTAAGTCTATAGAACTACGTACGTTTCTAAAAATTGAATAAATCAATTTTTCAGTAAATTATATCGAACACGCTTTTATTGGACAGACTGTTTTAGTATTAGTCTTATTGAATATAAAACAGTACGATATAAGATATAAGGACTCTAATAATGATTTACAAACTAAAATATGCAGTACATATAACGAGGATCGTAAATAATGTTTTTAACAATTAATAACAGTTCCAGTAATCACAAATATTTTATTATCAAAAGCATACGTTGAAATAACTTTGCTATTTCGTTTAAAGATAACACGTTTCCCAATTGTGCAGAAATTAAAACATTCCCAAATTAACTGAAACAGACTTTCGTAAATAGCGATTTTAAAATTTTAAACAAACTTTATATGTTATTGCAACGGTGTTTAGAATATCAATCAAATTCATAAATTCCAAACGTTAATTTTTTCCATACGATCCTGATGGATAACAATTAAAAGAACTTTGAAACTAAATACCAAATTTATTATGAATAACATAACATTTACATAATATAATATTAACAATAACTATTACTCGTTATTTAAGAATAATTTAATAAACGAAATTTTAACGTGACTCGATATAAGATTTGAGATAAGAAGAATGCTTCTTAACCCTTTGCACTCGACGATTTTTTCGTTACAGGAAAATAGTAATTCTAAGACATTCTGTCATAAAGTTGACGATATTTTCAAAATAGTAGATAAGAAATCGTATGCAAATTAAGACGTAGAATTATTTTACTTCGACATTCATCGATCTTTAGAATCCGATTAACCTCTTGACTACGGCAGACTTTGATACATAGTGGCCATACCATATGGCAAGAATAGAGTTACGATGTGCGCCATTTTTGTGAAAACAAGCGCCCTCCGTGTCGGAAAGCAAAACTACACCGAGCGCCTATAGACGCCCCCTGTGTCACAAACGCAAGATTTCTAAGCGCCTATGGGCGTCCCCTGTGTCACAAACGCAAAATTTCTAAGCTCCTATAAGCGCCTTTCGTGTCACAAACGCAAAATTTCTAAGCGCCTATAGACGCCATTCATGTCACAAACGCAAAATTTCTTAGCGCCTATGGGCACCCTCCGTGTCACAAACGCAAAATTTCTAAGCGTCTATAGTCGCCATTCATGTCACAAACGCAAAATTTCTAAGCTCCTATAAGCGCCTTTTGTGTCACAAACGCAAAATTTCTAAGCGCCTATAGACGCCATTCATGTCACAAACGCAAAATTTCTAAGCTCCTATAAGCGCCTTTCGTGTCACAAACACAAAATTTCTAAGCGCCTATGGACGCCCTCCGTGTCACAAACCCAAAATTTCTAAGCGTCTGTAGGCGCCCATAGTAGCCAAGGGGTTAAATGGCGACTGAGAGTCGCTTCTCGAGTGCAAAAGGTTAAACTAACGGACGACTTTGAAAAAGCCGCTTAACTTTATCGTGCTTATGATTCTGTGCTACAGCTGGTGTTACAAGTACCGAACGAATCGGTCTAACAACGCGAAATTATTCCATCGGCTCGACTAGCGGGAGAGTGAAATTAGCAGAGATTGGTCGGCCATCCGCTTCGTCCTGTAATTATCCGTCGCCACAGCATTCGTTCGAGTACTCTCATGTGGCAGCTGAGAGATCGGATACGTCCACGATAGGAAAGGATATCACCGAGGTGCCTGAAACTAACGCTAGGTCAAAAGTCTCGTTGTCAGAGAGGGAAGCAACGACGAAAACTTTGACCAAGGCTCCTCTAATAAGCATCAGCGCGATCGTGGGCGATTTAGCGAGCGACAACTCTACAGTTGAAGTGGAGGAAAAGCCGGATGACGACTATGCGACAGTGATTAAGGAAGAACAGACAGAGATAGAGACGAGGAAGCGAAAGCTGGAGCCTGACAAAGGTGACACAGCGGCGATTACAGCCGAAGGAGATTCGGCGATTTCAGCTCAAGCAGAAACGGAGACGGAGGAATCGCTGGAAGAGGCACAGGTTGTTCCTGTCTGGGAGCCGGACACCCGACAGGACGACCAAATAGCACCCGTTACCGAACCAGCTCCTCAGCAAAAGCGTGACAATAATGTTAACGAAGTGTGCCCCTGGGAAGACGAGTAAGTACAAATTTTCGCTACTGACAATTAGTCAGTGATATTAGTAATATTAGTATTAATATTGATTAATATTAGTAATATTAATATTAGTATTAATATTAATTAATATTAGTATATTAGTAATATTAACCCTTTGCGCTCGACGATT